ACATAACATTCTCATCCAAATAAACACGAAATTAAGGCAAGTTAAACATAGCTAAACCACATCGGAAGGCTGGCTGCAGAATGGAAACATGAATGTGTTCTCAAGACAAAGTTCATGATTTGAAATCTCATCCTGTGTCTCTGTTACTGTCTGTCTGTCTGTCTGTCTGTCTGTCTGTCTCTCTCTCTCTCTCTCTCTCTCTTTCTCTCTCTCACACACAAACTCTGCAACTTCAATCTTTACATTACTTGGTGAATCGCTCTAAATTATCCTTAAACATTTTTTTTTTGTTTGTTGTTTTTCGAGACAGGGTTTCTCTGTAGCTTTGGAACCTGTCCTGGAACTTGCTCTGTAGACCAGGCTGATCTTGAACTCACAGAGATCCATCTGCCTGCCTATGCCACCCGTGTGCTGGGATTAAAAGAGTACACCACCACTGCCCAGCTGATAGCCTTAAGGATTTTACGTGACTTTGATGAATATAATGTTGAGCCAATAGGATCTTAGCATCCTCAAAAGTAAACACATTTCCCTTTCAGACAAAATTGTCCACAAATCTATTTGCAAAGTGCTTTCTCTACTAGTCTGGAAGTCAGCTCCTGCTGGAATTGATGTTTCTGGAATGCTACTCTTTGCTTGGAAACTTCGAATTAATTATATACTGAAACTATATCAAGACCTCAAGTTCTATACAGAAGTCCAATAACACAAATAAGGAAAATGTATGTTTGTATAGATTTTTAGTTTATTACTTAGTAAACGTAGTAATGATTCCTTATGAAACTGGACCATTTAAATTCAGAGATTACTTTTTTTTTTTTTTTTTGGTTTTTTGAGACAGGGTTTCTCTGTAGCGTTGGAGCCTCTCCTGGAACTAGCTCTTGTAGACCAGGTTGGCCTTGAACTCATAAAGATCCGCCTGCCTCTGCCTCCCACATGCTGGGATAAAAGGCATGAGCCACCACTGCCCGGACCAGAGATTAATTTTTATAGAATATGTTTAATTTTATTTTACTGGGAAGGGGAATTGGGAGAAGTGAGAGGGTACAGGGAATGAATATAACCAAAGAAGTGATATACTTGAAAGAAAGTGTCTTCATGAAACCCAGTGTATGGAAAATGATTATATGCCAATAAATACTTTAAAATGTTTTAACTTTGGGATGACTTTAATTTTTCAGGAGGTTCTGTGCTTTTACTCATTTCTCCTGAGCATGGCGTCTTCTCAAAGTCTAAACTTCGTAGCCCCTAGACCTTCAGGTGTTATCATTTTATTCCTGTGTGTGCATGGTGTGTGTGTGTGTGTGTGTGTGTGTGTGTTCAGTGCCCTGCAGTTTTATGACATGTGTAGGCTCAGGTGGCCATGCCCACTTCTGAAGCAGTGTCTGACTTCTGAGCCTTGTCTTGGCTTTTGAAAACAGCCACGCGTGCGTCCCTTCCGTCTTGTTCCTTCTGTAGTCACCTCTCCGTTTCTTGGCTACAGTAATTTACATATCTTTGAATTTTATAGCCTCCCTTCATGAACTCACGGCTGGGGGAGAGCTTTGTGTTCACTCTGCTTTCTGGAGCAGCTTCTGTTTCCCCCAAGAAAAGAAACAAACACACTCCCGCACTCCTGCCCCACTCACTGGGCATTAAAGACACCAGGGAGACTAGATGGACGCTGGTACTAAGCCGAAAACCTGCCACAGAGTGCAGCCTCTAAACTTGGCTTATTAAAATATCAGTTTTTTTAAAGTCCAGATTTAAACTCCAGCTATGAGTTATAGTGCCCTGCACACAAAGAGTGGACCTCATGATGTCTTTGCCAGGCAAAATTAGCCCCGTATCTGTGCCTCTTCTACTCGGGAAAGACGCAATGCTTCCAGGCTTACAACCTGTTTGAAAGGGAGGCATTTTCAGACAACTGCCCTAAAGGACAACATTTTCAAAGGACCTCAGAACCCACTCTTCCAGTCCCCACACCATCCAGATGGGAGGCAGGGAAATGCTGTTGCTCTTTAAGAAGTTCAGCTGCCCCCAGCAACTCTCACGGTAGGGAATTCCTTAAGACAGTCTCACTGGTATTTCAGGTAACTCAGCTGTTTGGTCTGGTCTACTCCACAAACAAAAGCCCCGCAGCAATTCTGCATTTCCGCTCCTCTCCAGGAAGAGTTTTCTTTGGAGACTAACTAGCTCCCCGGATGCAGCAAACATCTCCGCGAAGCAAGTTTCCAGAGCTCAGGAGAAGCTGACATGGGTTGAAAGGTGTTGGGGGACACACATGTTGTCCATAGGAGCAAAACTTGCTCGGGAAGAAAAAAAAAGGAAGAAAGGAAGCAAGGAAAGAAGGAAGAAAGTGCAGTGGTTGAAGATGAAAACCCATACAGAGTTGGCAGAATAGGAGACAATCATGACGAAGACCGTAGAATAAATTATGGACGAGAAATGGCTGCATTTCCCTGTCCCAGGCCCGGTGACCGTGACCCTGCTCAGGGGTCTACAGCATCTCACAAACACTCTGGGCCTCTTCGGAGACTTCTTTCAGTTAGTCAAGTCCCACTGACTGGAAAGACTTCCGGCACCTATTTTGAACACCCAGCCAAGTAAAGACAGAATAAACTTTAGTATAAGCTGGGCTTCATGGACTGGGCCATGTTTCTCTCCATGGTCAAAGACAATTTAGGCTTTGTGTTGTTAACGGAAATATGTCACAATAAACATTAAAAGTATATACACTTTACCGAAATGTCTAGCTACACTCTGCCCCCAGGCAGACAATGAATGTTTCTTGGAAATGTTACAAAGAAATAACTAATTGCAAATAGCAACATTTCCAGGAGACTAAAGTAATGTATTTATGCTCCTTAAGAGGAATGGGTTAACAGCAAGAACACAAAGGTATTCCTTAACAACCAAGGCAGGTCCAGCATCAGTGTATCAAACGTGGATGCATTTGGAAAGAACCCTCTGTGAGTTCAGACATCAGCATACCTGGCTAGTCGTTGTCTTCGATTATATAAAAGTAAACATGCCTGTATCTTGCTTTCCAGCTCAATGTGTTATCTGATAGTTTAATGCCTTTTTGTCCAAATAAGCTCTTAACATTTTTCATTTGTTTATTACAGATACTGCATTTTGGGTTTTAAAGCATATTTGATTGCAGTATGTGATTAGGTCAAAGCTTTTGAAGAGAGGAATTATCTTAAACTGAATTTTCAGTGTCTCCACTAAATTCTTGCATCAGGGTACTATCCATCTCCCGGTGTTGACTTTCAATAATTTTCCAAAGGGCTATCTTAGCAATAATACTGTTGACATTCTCCTTAAACAAATGTGGTGTGTGTGTGTATAAAAAAGATGGCGTATTTCATCTGCTCCTGCTTCCTCAAGCGTGCTGTGAATCACGGCGGGATGAAGCGTGAGTGGAAGTTAACTAATGGACGCTCATAATTTAGGCAGCAAAACCAGAATTAATGTATTATCCCTCCGTAGCTTCGCGTACTTGGCCAACCCAAACTTGCTTTCTTAGAGAAATACGTGACTGAGACAATTCCCATCTGCTTTTGACAGACACGGGAAGATTCCCACAAGTGACTTGGTTAAAAGCATTTCTTAAGGACTATAAAATGGTCATGATTCCGGGGGATTATTTCATCAAAACAGTTTTTGGTGATAAGAATAAAGGATGGAAGAAAAGAAGGAAGGAAGGAAGGAAGGAAGGAAGGAAGGAAGGAAGGAAGGAAGGAAGGAAGGAAACCCATTGTATAAGATCAACGTTTTGTAACCAGAACAGCAACTTCCAAGATATTATAAAATGATAAAAAAAGAAATAGATGTTTAGGACAATGGGTGGCCATGCTGATCGTGATTCATCTAAATTTCTTCTGTGTGAAGTGGAGACTTTCATTTAAAAAAAATAGTACAAGATGCGTGGGTGAAAAATCGAAGGGAAATTAAGAAGGAAAGATTTTTTTACACCTCTCTCCCCCAAAAGATCTCAGCAAGGCCTCCAGAGAGCGGAGCCCCTCAGCCTTGCCTGGAAGACATTGCCTCTGGGATTGCCTAGAGAGTCTGCTAAGCAGCTGGCGCAGGACGTCCTGTCCTAAATGCTCTTCCAGAGAGCAACACACCTTCCAGGGCTCGGCGTGTCCAGTGCCTTTCTCCCCAGGCAGGGCCTAGCGCTCACTGCTTCTTTACCTCCACCACCACACCATGCTCAGACCTGTTACCCCGCTGGATCCCTTGCGGTTGCTTACCGCGGCGCAAGACCCCTCTATGTCTTTTCAAGTTCAAGACTGGTAGGCTAGGCGCCCAACTCTAAATAAGATTCACCTGCCTGCCTGCATCCTGCGACTCCATGTCGCTGTACAAACCCAGGCCTGAGTGCTTGGAGTCTCCTGCGCTCCTAGCGCCCAGCAATTTGCTTCTCATGGCTGTGACCCTGGAGCCCCAGCGCAGGACAGAAACCTCCCTGCCTTCTCAGGTAAACTCCGCGGCGACATCATTGTACCTAATGGGAGGGCTAAATAGGGCTCGAACGCTCTAGCATCCGAGGCGAGGGCCAGAACTACAGTCAGAAAGAGCTGGTTGCCTGCACCACGCGTGGACTCTGTGGCGCCGCAGAATGCGCGCGAAGCAACAAGTGGGCCACAACCCAGAAGGCATAGCATCTCCCGGCCTTTGCTGGCCTGAAGAAGACGTTTTGACAGCTGCTCCCCATGGGGTCACCCATAGACACCCAACCACCAAAAATGGGAAGTGTGACCATTTGTCCAAGAAGTGTATTAGGACCCTGCTTGGGAGCCGCTAGCCGGAGGGTTCCGAACTGATGCCCCTGGCAAAAGGCCTCGGACTTGCCTCCGGGACAGAGATGTTCCCATCTCCCGCCAATCCTTGCAGGGTGGAGAAACTCAACCCTTCCCGTGCGGTGGCCTGAGGGATCTCCACGATGAAGGATGCTCTGGCCCGCCCGCCCACCAACCCGTGCGTAGTGGGTGCCCAACACACGCAGCACCTACCCTGGCGTGCGGGTCCGGAGGTGGGTGGCGCGGCGCTAGTGGGAGGCGGACATGGACCACGCTCCCTCCATGCGCCACACGGAGAAGGCGTAGCTGAGACGCTCGTGAGCCACGTAGCTGCAGCTGGTCATCTTATTGTCCATCTCGTCGCTCTGCAGAACCTGGTAGAGGAAGTCTATGTACCTGGCGGCCAGCTTGAGCGTCTGGATCTTGCTGAGCTTGTCAGAGGGGAGCGTGGGGATGATCTTGCGCAGCGCGGCGAAGGCCTCGTTGAGCGACTGGGTGCGCTGACGCTCGCGCACGTTGGCCAGGATGCGCTGGCTCTGCAACTCCTCGAAGGACTGCGCGCTCGGACTGCCCTTCTTGCCGCGCTTGCCTGGGGTCGGGCTGCCATCTTCGCTTGACTTCTTGCTGTAGCGCCGCTTCCGGCCGAAGCGCTTGGGCTGCCGCTCCAGCTCTTCCTCGCTGGTGCCCAGACTGTCCACGGGGGACACAGGCGAGCTGGATCCCTCCTCCATGGCGCCCGCCCGGCGCGCGTGGGGCTGGGGGGCGCCGAGCGCACGCCACTCGCCAAGCCCGCGACCGCGGAGCACAGGCTCCTGGGTCGCCTGCAAAGTCTCTAATTTCGAGGCCGGCTTGTGCAAAACCGAGGTCTCCGGGAGAGGAAGTTATTCTAACTTTTTTGGAAACTCTATCCCGGCTGGGTTGCTAAATAGCTGTCAGGAACGAGGGCGGCGCGCTGATTGGCCACGGTGGCCAGGGGCAGGACAAGTTCTGGGGCCTTCGCCGGCCGCCCCCCCCCAAGGAGGGGGGGCGGCACTTTCAGTTTTGTCTCCTCTTTTTCGGCCCTAACTATGGCCGGCATCTCGGAGGCCGGGTCCGCGCGTGCAGTCTGCGCTGCTTCCTAAGCCGCGGGCCGCTAATCAGCGGTGCTGATCCTAGACTCAACGGGCCCTGGCTTTGTCTGAGCCTCGTGGAGCAGATTTGGTCCCTGCCCGGGTTCAGGATCTCCACGAGAGGTGGAGGAGGCGAGTCCAAGCCCAGATGTGCACCGTGGACCAAGGACGCAGCTGGGAGCCTCTTTGGGCGCGCACTGAGACCTCACCGTCAGCAACGCGATCCTGCCCGCAGTGAGTGGAGCTGTGCAGGCAAGCAGAGAGCCACGACCCCGGGCAGGGCAGACACTCGCGTGTCGGTAGAGATATCCACCTCCACAGTCTCGCCTCTAGGATCCATAGAGACGCCGCCCGTCTCGGGCCAGAATGCAAGTTGGAGGACCCTTTTTAATTTCGACCTTCTGGATGAACTTCGGTTTGGACACCTTTTCAGACCCTACCTCTTAATGCCTTAAGCCTAGGTACCACAGCGAGCCTCTGCGGGAGCGCCGGGTGCCCGCCACGCCCGCCTGCCTGGCCCTGCCCAAGTGCTGGGTCCGGGTTTAGGGCTCAGCCTCAGTCTCTGCACTCTGCTTCGTTTGCGAGCGGGTGGTGAACCCAGAACTCGGAGATTAGGGAGAGGCAGGCCCTTCCTGAAGTCCCCTGCTCTGGGCACTGGTGGGTAGCTACGGCAGGGGTGCTCAGGGATGCAGAACATTGGGCCAGGCCTTAGTGAACAGACATCACCGACCACGGCCTTTTTGCCATCTGGACTCTCAGCGACAGAGCGTTTGAAGTGCTTGGGGTCTCTTTGTTCGCCAGGCCGCTCTTGCTGGGGCCTGGAGGTGGTTTACAGCTTCCTTGCCTTTGAACCTATTCCCAGGTGACCCGGGCTCAACTAGGCCGGGCTTGAGCATGGCTGTCAGAGGAGCCCTGTGATCAAGGGCTGGCTAGGTCTTATTGAAGTTGAACCTGGGGCCAGCGACTCCTCAGCTTCAGCAGCTCCTGGGGGCAGGCGGGGCCACGAGGTGGGGCCCGCGGGCTGAGACCACTGTCTTGGGAAGCTGGAAGGGCTGTGTATGACACCTCTTGCACTCTCACCAAAGACCTGGTTCCCTGCTCTTGGGGACCAGCAGCACCGGGAGCAATGCTCCATGGTGAGCAGGCCCACTTGCAGACGACGGTTCCCTAAATGCTCTCTGGCTTCAGAGGATAGTTAAAGTTTCAGTCACTGTGCCCAGCCGGACCCAGGCTGCGTGCCTTCTGTCCTGCCTTCTGGGAAGACCATATTTTATTCAATGCCCCAAAGTAGCCTGATTTCTTCTTTTAAAAATTTGCAGCTAATTTTAGGAGCAAAAGAGAACACCCAGACCTCAGGTTCCTGCCTGCCTGGGGTGGCTTTTCTGGGAACTTCCGGGTGAAAGAGTACAGAAAAACTAGGTCAATTTTGCCACCCTGTATCACCCAGGGTGAGGAGTACCCCTTCCACGCCACCCCAAGCTCAGACCCCCTTTAAAGTCTGGCTTAAATAAATCAGGTGGTATTGTCCACTCCCTAAAACCAAAGGGTGTTTTCCCTGACAGAAGCCTTCCAGTGTCCAGCCCAGCCCCCTCCCAGCTTTTGTGTCTGCGTGTTTCTCTTTCTCACTCTGTCTTCTCCTTTCCCCTCCTCCACGAGGCGGAGGGCATAGCTGAGGAGGAAGGGAGAAGCCTCCTCACAGGTCTCAAGCAGCCCAGGGCTCAGTTCAGCCTGAGGATGAGGAGTGGGGACATTGCATAGAACATAGAGCTGCCACTAAAAATGGGGGTTCCCTTCATGTTGTGGTGACCCCCATTCACAAACTTACTGTGTTGCTACTTTGTAATTGTAATTTTGCTACTGTTACGAATTGTAATGTAAATATCTGATATGCGACCCCCAAAGGGCTACTGACCCACAGGTTGAGAACCACTGACCCAGGAGCTAGGCATTTTATCCCAGGCCAAGGTGGCCAGCCTTTTGTGGATTCCCAGCCAGCAGCTCTCTTAGGTCTTTGCTCTTCTTCAGTGTGGGGTGGGGTTTTTCTATCTTAAACACTTCTAACAAATCAAAATTGTATAGAGTCGGAGAAAAACGCTTGCTGGTGGAATTTGGCCTGCCCTTCTCTCTCAGTCATTGCTTTAGTTGAAACTTGAAAATACAAAAGAGAGAGAGAGAGAGAGAGAGAGAGAGAGAGAGAGAGAGAGAGAGAGACATCGACAATGCCACAGTCTCTCCAGTGTTGTTGTGAACCGGGCGATGGCAAGGTGACACTTGGTCTCTCTTTCTCTCAGGTTGGTTAAAATGAAACGCTAATGAAAAAGGAACCGGATTGGGAAATAATATTCTGGCTATTGATATCGCCTGAATTTTTTTCCTTTTACAAACCAAGATTTAATAAGGTTAATAAAACCAAAGTATTAATAACTCAGGAACAAAACGTGTTTGTGTGTGGATACCCCCCCAGACCACCCAGGCTCACTCAGACATGTGTGAAATATCACGCAATAAGGGTTCATGGCACACATGCAGTTCTTGGTATATTTATTCATTATCGAATGTGGAAAATCATGTCAACGCTTCTTTTCATGTGTGTAAAAATGTGTGCTTTGTTTCACGGAACCTCGATTTATTAAATAAAAATACAGCCTGAAGTTTGGAAAGCTTCTTCTATAGTTTTCTCTGCACCAGGCACCCTGTTTTCACAGTGAACTTAATGGCTGCTGGCTAGGTATTAGTGACAGTAAAGAACTGTCACCTGGAGATGGTCTTCAATGCTAGGACACTATCAGACGGCTCCTAGGCTTTATTGGGATAATAAAACGTGTGCTTGATACTCAGGAAATATTTTTTACAATCCCTCAGAAGCTGTATAGAAAGCAATAAATATGAGTTCAAACGCTACAGCTGCTACCTTTTGTCGAATCGCAGGTACAGTAAGCATACCTGTCTGCTCCTGCAGGCTCCCCAAGTAAAGCTATGAGAGATGCGATCAGGCATTTAGCAGGGCTCCTGTGTGTACATGCTGGTGAGCTGGTGGGTTGTCACCTCCTCTTGAGTTGAGTGAGGCAAAGCTCAAGCAGATGACAGAAGCCAGTATTTGTGCAACAGACCCTGCAACATCTCTCAAGAGGTTGAAGATGCCTTCTTGGCTCTTTCACTGCTCTCAGAAGCAGCTTGCCAGTGATTTGCACAACAGAAGAACCCAGGTACCTTTCTTTTGAATCATTGTCTCAGACACAGGGCCAGTGAACATGACACTCTATTTATGGGAGCCCCAATTCCAGGGGTGGACATTTGAGAATTGTGCCAAGCTGGTGGCCTGTCTGTAAACCGTAGGAGTCTTTAGATTGCTTTGCTGGATGTTAGAACTGTTTGTGGGATCATATGCTATTGGCTTGTTGACATTACCCTGTGCCATTGTCGTTGCCCTTCTTAGATGGGTTTGCGTAGTTCAGAACGCTCCCCGTGTGAGCATCTGATCGGCAGGCTGGGGAGCTGAAAAGGCATTTACTTCTCACCCTAAGATCCCAGGCTTAAGAAAGTCTCCCAGTGAATGACTGACTCCTAGGGATGAGTCTGATGTCTTCCAGAAAGAAAGCCTCAGAGCCAATCCCGTCCCCATGACTGAAGTCACATAACAGAGACTGAAGTCACACCTCAAAGGACTAGAACTCAAGTTCAAGGTACACTCTAGGTCAGAAAGATTCTGCTTTTAAAACTCCTTCAAATGGGTGTGTGCTGTGACCTTACGGCAGCACTGTGTTTGCTGTTACCAGGGGTTTAGTCCACTGTCAAGGCTAGAAACATCCCTGCCCTCCCTACCATCCTTCTCCCGTTTCTTCTTGATTTGACGCTGCCCTGGCTTGTGGAACTTAGAATCAGCTGAAACACCAGCCTCTGACAACACCTGCCTTTTCCCGAGAGGTTGAACCGAAGAGACAGCCTACCTTGAATGTAGGTGGCAGCTTTCCAGGGGCTGGGGTGAGACTATGGCACAGGAGAGAGTGAGCTGAGCACTGGCATTTGTCTCTCTGTGCTTCCTGATGGAGTCAGTCACCACCCCCACTCCAGCTGCTCTGCCTTCCTACCCATGAGCCAAAAGAAGCCCTTCTTGCCTTAAGTTGTTTCTTGCTAGCATTCCATCAGGACGATAAGAGAGACTATTAAGATACTGTCAGTGTTCATGTTTCCAGTGACAAGATCAGCATTGTTTCTCTGCAGCCTTAACTGTAATTGTTTCATGTCTTTGGGAGTCAGGGTTTCCAGAGACAAAGGAAACAGACACAGATATTATCTGAGAGGAGGTAAGTAGTGATGCTGATTCTAGTGGAACTGGGGATCATCCTGTATTTTCTTATCAATGGGCATCCTGGTGCTGACCCATGGAATACCTAAGATTATTGACCTTTCTGCTATCTGCAGGAATGGACCATTGGTCAAGGTCTGGAGCCAAACTTTACCACATCAGACTGGAGCATCTTTTTGTAGGGGAAGGTGAGGACAGGAATCTGTCCCAGCCTACTTGGTAATCTTAAGAGGAGAAGAGTCTAGATATGGTTCCACAAGCCAGAGCAGGGCAAGATAAAAGGTCTTGGGATAATGGCCATGGATAGAAGCATATACAATACAATCAAATCCATGAATCGCAACATCAGTCAAACACAAGTCCGGGTGCTCACCATTGGTGCTGCTAGGACGTTGGCCCACAGCTCTGGGAATGCTGGACAAGAGAGCAGGGACAAGCATGTAGCCAGGCTTTCTTACCAAGCATGCTTCGAAGTCACTGAACAGTTGCTAAGAAAACAGCCCGTTCTCAGGATGCTCTCAATGGGTGAGGACCCCAGCATGGGAGAATGGGTCTGAACACTGAAGGCAGACAGAAGCAGCCCACCCTGGTATGACTAATAAATAGACCAGCTCTCCCAGTACTGCGTTCTGGGGCCAGTTCCAGGAAATCTATGGTGAAGATGGCTGGGTATAATGTGTCACGTGGTGCTTTTGACTCTGCCCCTTCTGCACAGTTCCCAAAGGGTTCCTTGCACTTACCACTTACCAGCAGGTAAGACTGGCTGCATCTGGAGCCATGCCACTGGCTAAAGGGTGCCTAAACCCCTGCACTGGGATGGTACCTGTGGCAGGAGCTCAGGACCTGGTATTCTTGGTTTCAGAAAGTCAAAGAGCAACCCATTCAAATCTGCTTAGTGAAGTAAGAATGTATTAACTCATTTATGTGAGTGTCTTGGGCTTGCTCAGGCTTAGCTAGAGGCAGAAGACTCAATGATGTTATCTCTGGCCTCTCCTCTGTGTCTCAGTGCTGCTTCCCTGTGTGTGGAGATCTCACATCTGAACCAAGAGGCCTGAACCTCCAAGGTGAGAACTGACTTCAGGGTGAAGGGCTGTGATTGCTTCTGTGAAACACAGACAGGAGGTCAGGCTGGTGTCTTGAAGGTGAGGAGGTCCTTAGGAAGAGACACTGGGCTGGTGACAATGGTTGTAGGTTTACGAACTATGGAAAGAGGTGGGCAAGCCTCCTGAGGCTGACACAGAAACACATACTAAGTTTAGATTTCCTGCTGGTGGCAGTGGGAAGCAATGAGATGTCCCGAGGAAGTGATGGCCATAATCGATTTGGTTTTGAAGGCAGCTGCCAAGTGGCAAGCTATTGCGGAAGACAGCCAAGGAACGGCTGCACGTGTGCACACTCATGTGTGCAAGGGGGGGGGGGGAAAGAGAGCATGTGCACCTGTGTGTACCTGTCGGGGTGAGGAATACAACATATGCCCACGTGTTTATGCGTGCATATATGTGTTACCACACACATGTGTATGTTGGAGGGGAGTGTGTTTCTGCAAGTATATACACACGTGTATTTGTACAAGGTATGGAGGATGAGGGACTGATTGCTCCTGGTGTGACAAGGATGCTGAAGCCTGGCTTGGATTTGAGTGAGGTCACAGTCATCCTGCACAGGACAGCAACAGTATCTTTGTGGTTTGGTTTAAACTAGTTGGGACAGGAAGACATGCAACTTACATGCTGATTCAGTGTGTAAGGAAACAAATTAACAAGGACCAGCTACAGTGCTGGCTACAGAGAACGGCAGTCACAAGAGACTTGATTCTGCCACAGTCATTGCCTGCAGTGACCTTGGATTAGTCCACTCAATGTCAGGGGACTCTGTCCCCCTGCAAATGAACAGCCTAATGTGAATAAGCAGTTTCACTCAGTCAGAATGAAGGCCCCCTCCTTATTCAGAAATGGGAACCTATGTTGGGGACCCGAAGGCATTGAGGGAACAGAGTATGACCCTCTCTACTCTGAATATGTGCAGGGGGCTTTGGTGGCCTCACATGCGCAAACCTCGTAAAGTCCTGCTCCAAGGTGGCCTGGCCATAAACGTTCCTGAAAAGGTTATTTGAATTTATCATCCCCTATATTTTATAATTACAAATTATGGCCTCTCTTCCCCATGACAGTTTTGAGCTTTAGCAGACCTTAAATTAAAAACTTTATACATGTTTCAAAACAGTCGTCAGAAAATGTTAAATTCACGAGTTGGAAATGTGACCGGAGCAGCCCTCACTACTTATCTGGCATGTTGAAAGCTGTGAACTTGGAATTAAATTTGTGTGTTAAAACTCTGATTGTATCTCAAACATAAAAACACACCAAAGACATTTGTAGGGGAACAGTTCTAGGCATGAGGCGAATTCCTCTTTTATGGAGGTCACCCGCGCAGCGAAGCATGCCCTGCAGGCCTCTCCAGAGTGACAGAGACAGAAACAACTGGACATCCTTGGTTAAAGTGCATATGTGTGTGTTTGCAGACACATGTGATTGTGTGTTTGTGTATACATGAGTTTGCTTGTGTTGCATGTGTGCGTGTATGTTTGCATATCTATGTTCATATGTATGCATTTTCTGCATCTATGTGTGGTGTTCATGTGTACTCATGTATGTGCATGTTATGTGTGTGTGTGTGTGTGTGTGCTTTGGAAAGAACTGTGATGACATTTAACCGCCTTAGGTCATGCATATTGAATTCTTTATACATTTTCACACCTTTGCCATTTTGTGTGTGCATGGATGCCACAGTGCACATGTGGAGGTCAGTTCTTTCTTGCCTCCACACGGGTCTGGGAAGTGAACTCAGGTCATCAGCCTGCACAGCAGGTGCTTTCCTCCAACAATCCATCTCACCAGCATCCATGTTATTTTATTTATTTATTTCCCTTCTTTTTTTTTTTTTTTTCCTATCGTATTGGGGATAGAATCACACCACTGGCCTTCACCCTGATCTTTATTTCAGAAAAACTTTAGGAATTCACGTGACTCTGTCTTACTGATTTATTCTCTTATTTCTCTCGGGAGAGAAGAATTAGTAGCAGCCCATGAGTATCCCAATTTCAGACCCATAGCCAAATCCACGGCATTGGGTTTCCTCGCACCGGCAGCTCCTCCCGAAATGATGGCACCCGCCCACCACAGGCTTCCTTACAGCTCTCTGCGCTCTTCCTCTCACGATTCCTCCTTCTTCCTCTTCCAGAAACTGTTCACACCTAAACTCCAACACATGCCTGACCCCTG